TGGAAAAATAGCTTATTTGTCCATTTCCAGGTTCGACAACAGATGCTATAACTGTTTGCCACAGTTTGCCCACAGCTCCACCTGAATAATTATTCACACTCCTCGTGCCACGCTGGTGTGGTGGTCCCCAGGTTGCCGACGAATAGCTAGACAGAACACTTCCAGTTACGAACCAAGCACTCAGTGTAATGAAACTGTATAAGGAAAGTAATCGTAGTGTGCAGCCCAGCTCGATAAACACTGAGATTATTTCATTCGCCCACTGCTTATTCTAATAGAATTACGTCATGTTGCGATCAAACTTTCAAAGTACTTCGAATGAACCATTACAGCCATGGACCTATTCCGCTGCGTCTTGAAACTATAACTCATGCATAAAGAATGCTAGAGTTGACCATATAACAGTAAACACTTTGTGTAGCTGAGAGTGAAGTAAGACACTGAGATTATTTCACTGTCCGCTATCCACATTCCGAAAGCGTTACGTCAGTTATACTCAGATAAACTTGATAGACACAACAACTGCAATGTTGCCAAGTGTCGTCATCCACCAGATGCATTCAGGGGTGTCCAGAACGTATGAATTCTCGCAGAGAAGGAAAAAAATTGGGAAATTTCTTTTTTGGAGTCAGTGCAAAAATTTTAACATGTTTTATACAATCTGTAAATTACAATATCTGATTCTATATTCTTTCGAGAAAAAAACAGTGTTTATTTCGTTCGTTTATCACAGAAATTGCAGAAATAGGAGCAAATTTAGTAAGTGACTTCAATTTTTACGGATTTCTAATCGCGGGTATTTAAATATATTCCGTACGGCTGCCTATACCGGAATTTAAATGCCCGTAGGATAAAGGTTAAGATGGCAACTGGTCCAGCGGTGCCGGCAGCTCATCTGGAGGCGCTGGTCGGCAGACTACTTTGGCCAGCTTCAGCAGCGTTCCAAGTGGTTGCAGAACCAGCCTAATCTTCGACCAGGAAGGCTGGTGCTCCTGAAGGAAGATATCACTCCTCCTCTCACCTGGCCGACAGGCGTCATTGAGGAGACCTATCCTGGGGCTGATGGCCTAGTTCGTGTAGTGACTGCGGACCAGCAAGGGGTCTTACCGAAGGCCAATAACGAAGATTTGTCCGTTCCCTGATGAACTAAATTAACAGATCGCATCATGTGAGTGATGAGGACTATCTGGGTGACCAGTGAATTACCCGATGTGTTCATTTGTGTAGAGACTTGTTGCTTAATTAACTGTAATTTGTAGCTCAAATTAGGTGGGCGACATGTTGAGTGCAGCCATTCTAAGTAGTTGGAGCTGTGGCTGCTTGAGGGCGGCACCTCTCGGGTTGTGGCATGGTGGTGCCTGTGCTCACCAGTGAGCAGCAGGTTGGTTGCTAGAAAGTGAGCGTGGGCACGTGTGTGTGTCTTGGCGTCACAAAGAGAGCATGCAAGTGGAAACTGGTTGCTGTACATTAAGTTAAATTAAGAGGTGTTTAAATACAGTCTGTGACATTTAGGAGCTACCAGAGAGATGTTGCTCAATGCACAACAACCAGAATGATCCCACACTTCAAAAAGAGGTAGCAGAGCATGGTTAAGTATAAACAGGGTGGGACGGAACCGTGGTTCCGTAGTCCCTTGTTATAGTGGTTGGTTGCTTTTGTAGCATGCATTGTTAGCGTGGCTATGTGGTCAACGTAATTTCCTCTGAGAGTCTGGTTAGTGTTCGTAGTGTGTTTACATGCAGTCCTAGTGTGGGTTGCCCTGCTGTGATGGTTCGGTTTGTTTGTGTAGGGCACTTGGGTAGGCTATATGGGACTTGTTAACCTGGTTGTGACTCTCTTGTTATCATAATTCTTTCGTGTCTATTTTGTCAGCAGCATTATGGAACCACAAACTAGCGTACCTGAATTTTTGCACAAGGATGAGTTAGCGTATGAGTTGGAGGTCCGTGGTATAAATATGGAAGGTTTAAATGTTGCGGATTTGCGATTTCTTTTTCATAAGTCACACGAAGTAAAAGAAAACCCTGACGTGTCTACTAATTCTGATGTCTTTCTGACCCCTAATAAAGTGCTAACCTTTTGCCATGATCGTTTTCAGCAGATTAGGAATTTGGTGGAGAACACAGACTGTTCTTCCATTGGTCTTGATTTTCCTCATTACCTCCATCGGTTGCGACATGTCAGTACTCGGCTACGTCATCTATTGCAGTTGAGCAGACTCGCACCAGATGTGCGGGCTGACATGGTAAATTTCCAGGAAGAAGTACACCAATATATACAGTATATGATTGCCCACGTAGATTCCTCGCAGAAGAGTCACCCTGCAGGGAATCAGCCTGCTGCTGTTTCCTTTCTTAAGTTTCAGGGTGCCGCTGCATCCGACTTTAATAGGCCGGACCTTCAGAGCGGAATGCATTTGACTGCCCCTAATCTCGCTCCTGGTACATATTTACCTTCTCAGATGCAGCGACTATCCCCTAGCCAGGTGGTACCTCCGGTGGTTCATTACGATTCGAGTACTATGGGAGGCTCTCTCTCCATTTTGCGAACTTGCCTAATCCTGTACACAAAATGCTCGGAGGTCACAACTAAGCGCAAGTAACGACAAATAAACTGGTTGGTGCTAACAAATAAATAATACTAAAGATTAGGAACTATGTCTCAAAAACTTTTGCGAAGTAGGACTGTGGATATTTTGTCAGAGGAGATGGAATTAGGTTCAAGGGAAAAATCCCAGGACGGGCCATTGGACCAACTAGATCCAATAGAAAGAACGCAGGGACCGGAACTAGCTATGAATGAAGATTTCGAAACCGGTAGTAGCGGAAGGGACCTAGAGGTTACTCAGCTTTCCCCACTAGTAGAAATTGAGAAAAGCGATAGTTTTAAGTTACAGGACTTGATGGCAAATATCCAGGTACTGTTTTGAAAGGAGAAGGCGGAGGCCGAGGAAAGAGCTAGGCGATCAGAGGAGAATATTCAGAAATTGTTTGAGAGCTTGGAAAATGGCCAGAAAGAAACGCGAGAAAAGTTACAAGCTCAAATAACAGGAGTTAGGGACGAGGTTCAGGCTAACCTGGTGGAAATAGATAAAAGGCTAGTTAGTACAGATGAAAGAGAGTGGGGAAAGGAAATTGCGGGAAGAAATAAACAAAGTGCGTCAGGACTGCCAAAGGTCACGTGACCAGCTAAGGGAAAAGGTATCTGCCGAGTTAAACAGGGAGATAAGACAAGTGCGAGAAGCAGGGAATCAAAGAGAAGGAAGGTGGGAAAAAGAATTAATAGGGACAGAAGAACAAATGGAAACAGACAAAAGGGGGCTTGAAGGAAAGCTAAATTAGCTTACCGCTCGCCACGAAATAGTAAGTGAAAGTCTGCAACAACAAATGATAGCAAACAAAGAAAGGGCCAAAACTAGCATTGTTGAAGTGAGTAAAGAAGTGTCGAGCTTGAGCTTAGGTTTGCACCAAGCCCAAGAAAAGATAGATAGATTGAGCACAGTGAGTAGTGAGGTGGTCAGTTTTGAGCTTAAACTTACAACAGGTTCAGGAGAAATTAAAGTTTGGACGAAGCTTCGAGGCGACTAGGGGAGAGAGCTTCTCAGATTGAGCAGTGAATTAGTGATGGTCAACTTAAGACCAGTTAAGAAGTAAAGAGGATCGAGCAGGAGGCTGAAAAATTAAGGGAAGAACTCGGGAAATCAGTTTTCATTGTAGACTCTGGTGCTACTCCCCTACTCGCTCGAAGAGAAACTGTTACAGATGCTGTGATTGATTCAGATGGAGCAAGCGTAGAGAATAATTGTGAAGAGCTGTCGGGAACATTCCGGGGAAACACTGGTTTTGGGAGTGGAGAATTTCCACTGCCCTTATCTGATGAAAATGCTGGCGTCAATCCTCTTGCTC